GGTTCTCATTTGAATCTTAAGGGGAATGCTTCCAGATATGCTCCTACACATCGCTGTTAGGTTGCTTTGCTGGGATAATTTCATATTGTGTAATTGTGGAGAGGCGGGGGCAGGCAGGGGGAGGAGGAGGGGCCGAGGGAAGGCGAGGGAGGGGAGGGGCCGGGAGGGGGAGGGGGGGGCAGAGGAAAGGTACAGCGATGTCGCCTCAGAAGAACACCCCTGGCAGCTTTCCCTGTTTGGTGACAGCCATTACCACGATCTCCATAATGCCGTTTCCCTTGGCCTTCTCCAGGATCATCTCGGTGCCCTCCTCCACGTTGCGGCGGATCTTCTTGAGGACGTCCTTGTCCAGCGCGATGGTGGAAATCAGCTCCGTGAAGTCGTGCTCGGCCGACAGGAGCACCTCGTCTTTGTAGTGCATCGACCAGCCCGGAGCGGCCACCGACATCGGCCACCAGGTGCGCAGGTACTCATTCTCGGCCCCCATCTCAATCAGCGCCGCATAGATGCCCTTCGGCGTGCTCTCGATCGCCTTCCGTAGCGGGCCGCCGGCCATGAAGGCCGACACCTTGTTCGTCATGCCCTCAGCTGCGATCTTCGCCTTGATCTTGTCCACGGTCTCCTTCATCCTATTGTAATGCTTCACCTCGAAGGTGATGAGCGGGCCAGCAGAATACTCCTTGCTCAGCAGCTCGTTAGTTCCGCCGTCGCGGGAACACAAGCGAACCACTTTGTCCATGCCTCGTAGAACTCCTTCATGCTCGTCGTCCGGCCTTTTCACACAGCAATGTTGCTGCTGAGCGGAGCGTCCAACTTCTGCACCAGTTTCTTCATGTTCGTCATGGAAGTCTGCAGGCGGCCCAACATGATAACATCGTCGTTGGCCTCTCCCTCCTCCATCGGGATTCCTGCTGCAGGGGCGGCCGCTCCAGCGAAGGTGCCTCCGAGCGTCAAGCGTCTGTGTTTCGCGCCTGCTCCTGGCTGGAGGTCCTGTGTCTCGTCCTGCTTGGCCTCCTCCTGGTGGCTGGCAAGGTAGTTCTGCACCGCCGTCTTCACGTCGGTCTTCGCTGCCGCCGCCTGGGACTTCAGGCGCTGGAACGTTTGCCACCATAGAGGGTTCAGGCCCATGGTCTCGAGCAGGGGGCCAGGGAAGTCCTCGCCGTTCTGTTCAAAAGCGTGGTCCGCATCCGCGAAAGCGAGCAAGAAAGCCCCAAGAGTTGATGCCATGGCGCACCGCACAAGCTTTGGTGGCACGGTGATGCCCGTGCGACTCAAAAAACGACTTGAGCCAAAATGGCAACGGATGCAAATTATAGCATGCGTTTTCGCGGCTGCATTGGGCCCGGGAGCGGCCGTGCCAGGCTTTTGGAAAGCATCATCAATCGGAGTACTCTTCAAGAAAGGGTGCGAGCGCGTACCTGGGAACTACAGGCCCATTTGCATAATTCCAATTTTGCATAAGCTATTCAGCAGGGCATTGCGTGGAAGGTGGAAGAATCAAAGACAGGCTCATTGCAGAGCAGTCTGTCGACCAAGCCGGTTTCAGACGAGGGTTTAGCTGCGACTACCATTTTTCCACAGTCACATTGTTGGCAGAGAAATGCAATGAGTTCAACGTGCCGTTGTGGATTGCGACGCTTTTTTATATAAAAAAAGGCTTTCGATGCCATGTCACAATCGAGCATCTGGGAGTCGATGGTGGCTCACTGCGCACCGTCTGTTTAGGTATTCATGCTCTCCAGATTGTAAAGCGGGCAGCGGGCGCACGTCCATTGCGACGTTGGGAACCGAGATTTTGACATCTTAAGGGGGACGAAACAAGGCGACCCACTAAGCCGAATCCTTGTCAATTGCGTTCTCGAAGAGGGTTATGCGCAAGGTAGAATCGCATTGGGTTTCCAAATTGTACGGCGTGAAGCTTGGCTACAGTGGACAATCTGTTCTAACCAATTAGAGACTCGCAGATGACATCTTGCTCATCGGCCGTTCCTGACCACAATCAAGAGAACGATCTCGGACGTGAAGCGAGAAAGCGCGAAGGTCGGGCTGGATTTGCACCTGGAAGAAACGAAGATCCAGCACAACAATATCGGTTATGGCAGCAAGGTCAGGTTGGCTGTTGTGGAGGGCACGAACATCGAAGTAATGGAACCGACGGGAAACAATCCGCATTTAGGCAGGGCGCCCTCGCTGATGGCCGCCTACGACGCTAAGCTGACGCACCGGCCGAAGAGGGCGCGGGCGAAATTCGGCACCTTCCGGCAGAAGCTGACAGTCAAAGCAGGGCCGATCAATCTCCGGATGAAGCTCTTCCATCCCGTGGTGACCCCGACCGCGCTGCATGGTTGTGGCAGATGGGCAATGACAGTGGAACGTGACGCAAAACTGAAGGGGGCGCAACTCAAAATGGCCCAGGCTATGTTGGGTCGGGGGACAAGTACAAGCTGGACGGGGACGTGGAGACATGGATGGATTGGGTGCAGCGCGTGACAGCTGAGGCGCGGCAACTGATGGAAAAACGCCATGTACCCAGCTAGACAGAGGAGTGCCGATCCAGGCTACAGCGTTGGAGCGAAAGGCTCAACAACATGAGCTTCGACAGGTGGGCCTGACGAGTCCACGACTGGATCCCTGACGGGCGCAGAGCCCGAGGACGTCCTCTTGCGAGATAGTTTGACCAATTGCCGCTGATCCTGTAAAGGGCACGTAACCGCGCACGCGCGGCCCGTACTCAGCGCTCGTTCGTTCGTTCGTACGTATGGCATGATCCCGACGCCTGGCGTAGATTCAACCGCATGCAGTTATGCGCACCGCAATTGTGAATATCTTCTTCGGTGTCGCTCCCTACGGGGCCGCGAACCCTGTGAGGGGAGTGCCGAAATAAGTGCGGCATACGCAGGTGGGCGGTGCCACTTGGGCATTCGGTGGAGCTCCCTATGGGGCCACGTAGCGTGTGAGGGGCGTACCGAAATCGGCGTGGGGGACTCACGAGGACGGTGCCATTGGAGCCTGCGGTGTATCTCCTTATGGGCCCACGCAACGTGTGAGAGGTGTGCCCACATGTGTGGGGGACGCACGTGGACGGTGGCACTGGGGGTTTCGGTGGATCTCCTTATGGGGCCACGAAACATGTGAGGGGGGTGCCGAAATGGGCGCGCGGGGCGCATGTGAACGGTGGCACGGGGGCCCTCGGTGGAGCTCCGAATGGGGCCACGAAACGTGTGAGGGGTGTGCCGGAATGGGTGTGGGGGACGCCTACGGGGCCCTCGGCCCCCTTTCTGAAACCACAGAACGTGTGAAGGTGTGCCGAATTGGTGTGCGGGGGACGCATGTGGACGGTGGCACGGGGGCCTTTGGTGGAGCCCTTTACTGGGGCCACGAAGCGTGTGGGAGGTGTGCCGACATGGGAGCGGGTGACGCGTGTGGACGGTGGCGCTGGGGCATTTGGTGGAGCTCCTTATGGGGCCACGAAGCGTGTGAAGGATGTGCCGAAATCGGTGTGTGGGGGACGCATGAGGACGGTGCCACTAGGGCCTTCGGTGTAGCTCCCGATGGGCCCACGAAACGTGTGAGGGGTGTGCCGACATGTGTGGGGGACGCACGTGGACGGTGGCGTTGGTGCCCTCGGTGGAACTCTATGGGGCCACGAAACCTGTGAGGGGTTTGCCGAAATGGGCGCACTGGACGCATGTGGACGGTGGCATCGGGGCCTTTGGTGGAGCTCCCTATGCGGCCACGAAACATGTGAGGGGGGGGCCGAAATGGGTGCGCGTGGCGCATGTGAACAGTGGCGCGGGGGCCCGCGGTGGAGCTCCTAATGGGGCCACGAAGCGCGCGAGGGGTGTGCTGGAGTGGGTGTGGGGGACGCCTGTGGGGCCCTCGGCCTCCTTTATGAAGCCACAGAACTTGTGAAATTGTGCCGACATGGGTGTGGGGGGGACGCATGTGGACGGTGGCACGGGGGCCTTTGTGGAGGCCTTTAATGGGGCAACGGAACGTGTGTGAGGTGTGCCGACATGGGTGCGGGTGACGCGGGTGGACGGTGGCACTGGGGCATTCGATGGAGCTCCTTATGGGGCCACGCAGCGTGTGAAGAGTGTGCCGAAATCGGTGTGGGGGACGCATGAGGACGGTGCCACTGGGGCCTTCGGTGTAGCTCCCGATGGGCCCACGAAACGTGTGAGGGGTGTGCCCATATGTGTGGGGGACGCACGTGGACGGTGGCGTTGGTGTCCTCGGTGGAACTTTCTATGGGGCCACGAAACGTGTGAAGAGTTTGCCGACATGGGTGCAGAGGACGCATGTGGACGGTGGCACTGGGGCCTTCGGTGGAGCTCCCTATGGGGCTGCGGAACGTGTGAGGGGGGTGTCGGAAACACTGTGGGGGACGTGCGAGTGGTGTGCCAAAGTGAGGGGGGGAACGAGAGGAGGGAGGAGGAGGGAGGAGGGCGAGGAGGAGGGAAGGAGTACAGGAATGAACGCGGGGCGCTGTCTCTTCAAAACGAGGACCCAACACCATAGGATTGCTGGGAAAACACACTAAGGTGCACATGGACTGGTCCGGTCTCGTGTAAACATGCGCTAGGGTGCACCTGGCCGTGCTCTCACTCTTGTCCCGCTTGTCAGCGTTCTTAGGCACGTTTTCACTCGCCGATCTCCTATTCCTCGACCCGCCTCTTCACCTTTGCTGCTATTAGGGTGCTTTGCTGGAAGGGCCTTGTTGGGATTTGTTCTGGAGCGCTTTCGGGTTGTCGTGGGGGCCTCTTGGGGCGTGCGCAGGCAATATCGGGATGTTACGGGGCTATCTGGGGCGACGTGGGGGCCATCTTCGGCCGTCTGGCACGTCTGCGAACACTTCTGGAGCAGATGAGGCCGCCGCCCCGCATCCCCCCCCTCCTCCTTCCAAACTGGCCGGGCTGGGCTCCTGGGGGAGGGGCTCTAGGGGAGGAGCAACAGCTTCGCGCGCCGAGGAATGCTTAAGGGATCGGCGACCTATTTAGACGGTTCCGATGTTCATTTGTGTGCTTTTAGATTTCGTTGCGCAAGTTCTGAGTGTCTTCCCTATTCTCGCCAGGCTTCCCCTTGAGGGGAGTGATGCTCGGCTATGCTCGGCAGCGATAGACCAGTGCATGCCCTCACCACCTCACGACCATCTCTTTGCATTACGCGTCCGTGTCCTTGATCTGTTTGTGGCCGTCCAGTATGACATAGACTGTCATCGAAAGGTACCATCTCGACCCTGTGCCACTGATGAGACGCTTTTAGGATACATACATTTGTATCTGCACATACACACATACATGTGTATCGAAGACGCCTACGGCGAACCAGGGCCGTCCCCTGCTTTTTAGAAATGCTTACGTGGCCAAGCGTTTAAGCGTTTGGCCAAAGTCTTGCTACGATGTTGGACATGTGTTCCTCACGTCGTTGTGGACACCTTCGGGGAAACATGTGGGGGAGAAAGAGAGGAGGAGAAGGAGGAAGAGGAAATGGAGGAGGAGGAGGAAGAAGAGGAGACCTGCTGAGGGCTTTTTGAGTCCCCCCTGGGGCACCTGGGGGGGCCTAGAAGGGGCGCTTGATCTTTCGAGGCCGCCTTGGGGCCCTCGTGGCACGCTTTCGGGTTGTCTTGGCAGTCCCAGATGCCGTTGCACGCACATACGACCTGTTGGACACGAATACAGCGGGACTGTTTTCAGCGTGTTCGACAGGGATTTGCCGGACATCCGACCCCCGACGACCCTTGTGGACATTGCCCCCAGCAAACAAGCAATTCACCCGCCTCCTGCTGCAACGCCAGGCCATCTTGGCCGTCTTGGGGGCATGTGGGCCGTCTTGGAAGCCATCCAGGGGCCGTCTTGGGCTGGACAGACCTATGACCCGGAGGTCTTCTGGGTGTCCCGCGTGCTGGGCCGAGACCCATTGGAGCCATCAGTGGTCAGGTCTTCATCAAAGGAGGGTCTATCCTAGGAGGCCGCGTAGACCTTCCTGGTCAACTGAGTGTTGCGTCGTTTGTTTCCCTTTGTTGCGAAAGTTGTTACACTGCACGCTTATATTCTACAATCGCTAGCACGCTCCAAGTAGGCCCGTTGGTTACACGAATTACATTGGGGTCAACGTCAGCGCGCCCAGAACTCACTTAGCATAGTTGCCTCGCTCGTTTTGTTCAGAACTGTGTTCTGGCTTCTTGGAGTCTGCGCCCTCAGCGCAACCTTGTTGGATGAATGTGCGTTGCGGCGCCGACATCGTGACTCTGAAGTGCACCAGTTGTTTGCCCGTACCTGATGCAGCGTCATACGACGGTGGTAAAGCGAACAACTTATCGTGTGCATTTCACATTCAGTGTTTATTTCAGTTGCGTTCTGCGTTACTAGAGCGTTACTGTTATCTTGACATGTGGCGTGCAGATTGCACGACCTAGCGAATAGTGGTTTGCAAGGTATCCCCTTAGTGCGACATGTGCATCAGGGTTTTGTGGATCTTCATGGAGAGGCTCATGCACGACCCAGTTACTCTCATCATAAATGGTTCTAGTTCGTCACACTCGCTCAAAATAGCTACACCGCGGGGAGGCATTGAAGGGGCGCGTGTCTCTTAGCAAGTTCGCGCATGCTGTTTCTTATAAGCTCGGCTCTGCCTCCATACTCTTGCACTGCCGCCGAATTTTGCGTGATGCCGTGTGGCAACACATGCACGTAATAGCTAGAGGACTCGCGGCAAGATCTGATTGTTCGAAACATCAGATACATCTGCATATCACCAGTAGTTGCGGTGGTCTCACACGCACGTTGCGACTGTCTCATACGCACGTCAAAGTGCGTCAAGCTTTCGATGTGTGTGAAAACAGTTCCCCAGCATGTACTTGATTGCGCTTGAGGCTTCTTCCGCGCGTCGGGCTGGCTTACTATACGCACTAGAAAGATTAATCGCACAAGTCTGGTGAGGTTTGCAGCATTTATGACTCCTCCCTCCTCCTGTCTGCTGTTCATCCCTCGTGTTTTCCCGCCGTTTCAGGCGGTTTCCTCCGTGCCCCATGTCGCCCACATGACGCTCTGAAGCCGTGCATATTCCTTGAATGGGTTTGCTTGGAGGGTTGCTGTTTTCGCGATAGCTCGACAGCCCTCTCAATACTGGCGCCCGGGGCCGATGCCCCACCCGTGTCCCACGACGTTGATGTCATGATCGATGGGGGATGAGGGTCGACGACGGAAGAAGTATTGAGGATCGAGATTGGGATGGGGGTTTGAGTATCGGTCGAGATCGAGGTTGGTGCGGGGACGCTGAAGGATGGGAGGAGGAGGGGGAGGAGGAGGGGGAGGAGTTGGGTCGACAGTAAGAGGATCGAGGATCGAGCATGGGACGAAGATGGAGGATGGAAGGAGTATCGAGGATCGGTGCTCTGGACCCAGCGCTGCCACTTGTAAGTGTGAGCTGGTCTGGCCGAGCGCTGCTCTGCACAAGACCCCTTGTGCGCCTTGTGCGTCGGCACTCTTCGTTCCAGCATTCTTTCTAGTGAAAAGTAGCAGATTTGGACATGATGAATTGTGGCTCCCACCCTGGTGCCCTGGGGCTGCTGCCCTATGATGTCCCGCCAGTCGTGATTTATGAAACCTGCCCTGGTGCCCTATGACTGGTGGAGAAGCCTGGTGCCTTGTGGTGCCCTGGTTGTCACCGTCACTGGTTTTCTCCGTGGTGCCCTAAGGCTGGTACCCAGGGTCGGGTGCTTTCTGATGGCCAAGTTGTCACGATTGGTGGTGGCCCATGGCTAAAACTCAACGCTGGGTTACTTGTCATCGCCCAGTTGTCACGATGTTGTGCAAACGCCCTGGTGCACTGCGGTTGTTGCCGCCGTCGGTTTTAGGGTTTAGGGTTTGTGGGGGGTCTGTATGCTGCGATATCGTGTTGAGCGCAATCATGGGTTGGCTATGGGGCCAGTTCCCGGGAGACCCTTAAAAAAATAAAAGATCTTTAAAAATAAGGATATCAAAAAGAAAATAGCGAGCTCGATGTCGCTATTTGTTTTTACAATCCGCTTTTTTCACAACCCGGAGGCCCCGGTAAAAAAAAATAAGCTATTTGTTTTACAACTTTTTATTTGTTTGGGGGATCTTTTATTTTTCTTACAATGCTTTATTTTATTTTACAATATTTTATTTGTTGCTACCTTGTTTTATTTTTTCTTACAACCTCTTTTTTTTGGACCCGGAAGCTCCCGTCAAAAAATAAACGCCCACTATTTGTTCTTACATTTTTTTATGTTTTTTTACAACCCGGAGCTCGCCCCAGACCTCCAAGAACCTCAACCCGAACCTTAACCCCAACCCTAACCCGAACCCTCAACGCTAACTCTAAACCCGCGACCGAACCCTAACCCCAAACCCAAACCCCCACCCAAACTGTAACCCTTAATCCTAACTCTAAACCCTACCCCTGAATCCAACCCGAGCTCTAAGCCGAAGCCCGACCCCTAACCCAAACCCTGAACCCTAAACCCTAAACCCTAAACCCTAAACCCAAACCCAAACCCAAACCCTTAATCCAAACCCTTAACCCAAACCCTTAACCCTTAACCCAAACCCTAACCCTAACACTAACCCTAACCCTTACCCTTACCCTTACCTTTATCTTTATTCCTTATTAGAATATACTCCTACTCCCCCCTCAGGCCGGCCATTAGGGGCCGCATCCGGGGGGTCCCATCCTAACCTGTAAAAACAATACAAAACAATAATTTTTCTTATTTTTTCCTCTCGACATGGACGTCTTGTCGCCCACGGCGATAATCCATTGCAAAAAAATACCACAAAGAGCACACGCGCGCGTTCATGTCAGAATCCTACCGAACACCTTGTGTTTGCAAGCATTTCAACATAAAAACATAAAAACAAACCCAATGCTTTTTCACAAAAATTCTACAAATTTCCTGCCCGGGCTCTCTTGCTGAAATCGTAGGAAAACCATAGGAATCTTAAGAATTCTGCCAAATCCAGCGATTTCACGTCATCGCGCGGTGCACTCGCGATGCTCTGTCATGCACCCAGGCCGCGAATCCTGTGCAAAAAATACAACAAAGAGCACACTCGCGCGTTCATGTCAGAATCCTACCGAACACCGTGTGTTTGCAAGCACTTCATCATAAAAACATTTTTAAAAAAAAAAAAAAAAAAAAAAAAAAAAAAAAAAAAAAAAAAAAAAAAAAAATCCAATGCTTTTCCACAAAAATGCTTTGGGGTGTCCTGTCAGACCGTCGGGTTTCCTCCGGCCACCTCTGGCTTCCTGCGGTGTACCGGGCCATTCTCGACTCGTCTGGCAATGCGTGCGCGGCATTCAACACGCGCTCGCCAGTTCCCGTCGGCAACCGCCATCGCGGCCGCATCAGCTGTACCAAACCGGCTGGCCGGTGTGACTTCGGCCCCCAGTTGTGCCAGCTTTGCTTCTTATCTTGTGGGAGGGCGGGTGGGACTGGGCATGCCATGCTTGACTCGCTCGAGCTGGCTAGCTTGACCTTTACCCTTACCCTTACCCTTACCCCTTAACCCTAACCCTTAACCCTTAACCTTTAACCTTAACCCTTAACCCTTAACCCTTAACCCTAACCGTAACCCTAACCCTAACCCTAACCCTAACCCTAAAAACTAAGAGCCTATAAAGATTTAAATCCTGAAATGCCTTCCGCCGCCCTAAAGTCCCCCCTTCGGCCGCCCCCCCCATTTTGGCGCACCCCTCACGCAGATCCTTGCCCTCGGAGCGCCAGGAATGGCGTTCTGAGAGGATCTGCAAATCCCAGGGTGCGCCCCTCACGCAGATCCTTGGCCTCGGAGCGCCAGGAATGGCGTCCTGGCCCGATCCGCAAATCCCAGGACGCACCCCTCATGCAGATCCTGGCCTTCGGAGCGCCAGGAATGGCGTTCTGGGAGGATCTGCAAACTCCTGGAGTACCGGGAGTGGCGTTCTGGGAGAGCCTGCGAAAGTGCAGGGTACTCCCCTCGCCCAGACTCGTGGCAGACGTTCATGGCCTCGGTATGCCAGGCATGGCGTCAGCACTGTCCTTCGCGAAAGGTACGGGCGCGACCTCGACCCTTTCGGGTTGAGAGCCGCCCCCGTGCCCTTCCCCAGGGGCCGCCCCGCCGTCTTTGCGCGGCCGCGTCGCCGTCGTTTTGAAAACAATATCAACGTCGTCGTCATCGGTGTCGTCCTCGTCGTCGTTTTGCGAGTCGCGTGTTGATACCGCATCGAGATCAATATGTATTGGGTCATGGGTGGGTGGGACACGGTCAAGTGGGCTGCAAGTTTGGGCTAGTGGACCCTAAACCCTAACCCAAACCCTAAACCCTAAACCCTAAACCCTAAACCCTAAACTGCAAGCCACGGGCGGTGCATCGTCAGAAGCCCGTGGCGTCTGGCCGAGCGCTCAGCGAGCCTGCCCATACGGCGTGCGCCGCACCGACGAAGCGGCGACAGCCGCTGAGGAGGAATTCGCACGCCGCGCGGTGCATCCCCGTGGTGTTCTCCTAAGAAAAGGAACCCTTAACCCTCAGCCGCAGCCTGCGGGTTCCCTACGGTCCGCTACATCCCCTGGGGCTCCAAACCTATGAAAATACCGCATGCGGTGCTCTCTGAGTGCTCCAAACGTATGAAATTACAGCATGCGGCGCTCCAGGCGCTCCAGGCGCTCCCAAGGACTCTCCAAGCGCTCCCGGCACGCTCCCAAGCGCCCCCAAGCGTTCCCAGGCGCTCCCAGGCGCTCCCAGGCGCTCCCAGGCGCTCCCAAGCGCTCCCACGCGCTCCCAGGCGCTTCCAAGCTTTCCCAGGCGCTCCCGGCACGCTCCCACGCGCTCCACGGCGCTTCAGGCGCTCCCGGCACGCTCCCAGGCGCTCTCGGCGCTGGGAACGCGCTGGCTGCGCTCCCAGGCGCTCCCAAGCGCTCCCGGCACGCTCCCGGCACGCTCCCAGGCGCTCGCGGGCGCTCCCAAGCGCTCCCGGCCCGCTCCTGGCGCGCTCCCAGGCGCTCGCAGGCGCTCCCCAGCGTTCCCAGCGCTCCCACAACTCCGAAGCGCTCCTAAGCGCTCCCTGGCGCCCAAGCATTCCCACGCGCTCTTCAGCACCCACAAGCGCTCCAAGGCGCCACGCGGCGCTCCCATGCGCTCCCGCGCGCCCCCAAGCGTGCCCAGGCGGTTCCAGGCGGGCCCAGGGCTCCTGGGGGAAGCTCCAGGCGCTCTCCCAGCGCTGCCAGAGGGCCCCAGAGCTCTGGGGGAGAGCTCTGGGGGAGAGCTCTGGGGGAGAGCTCTGGGGGAGAGCTCTGGGGGGGAGCTCTGGGGGAGAGCTCTGGAGGAGAGCTCTGGGGGGGAGCTCCGGGGGAGAGCTCTGGGTGAGAGCTCCGGGGGAGAGCTCCGGGGGAGAGCTCCGGGGGAGAGCTCTGGGGGACGAGGCTATGGGGGAAGAGCCTGGGGGAGAGCTCTGGGGGGAGAGCGCTGGGGGAGAGCTCTGGGGGAGAGCTCTGGAGGAGAGCTCCGGGGGAGGGCTCTGGGGGAGAGCTCTGGGAGAGAGCTCTGGGTGAGAGCTCTGGGGGGGGAGCTCTGGGGGAGAGCTCTGGGGGAGAGCTCTGGGGGGGAGCTCTGGGGGAAAAGCCGAGCGGTATTTCTGAGCATCCGGCGGAGGGTTAGGGGTTATCATTTTGCAAGCGAAGCACCGCCTCGGGCCGGCAGGCCTATGGTCGCGGTGAGCTCGACTTGCAGCTCGCTCTCACTAGCAGATCCTTACAGGCGTGGCGGTGCGCGCCCCCAGGTCCGCGCCTGCAGTTTAGGGTTTAGGGTTTAGGGTTTAGGGTTTAGGGTTTCT